TTCTGGTTTTCTGGTGGTTTATTGGAGATAGGAGTCTCATGGTCTCTTCTGCCCAGGCTGGCTTTGAACCGCGATCCTCAGATCTCAGCCTCCTGAGTAGCTAGGATTACAGGCGTGAGCCACCAGCGCCCGGCTTGCCATAATTCTTAAGACCAAAGTCTCTTGGGTAAATTTGGTTAGAACTCATGCTAATGCTAGCAATTACCTTGGACTGACCAATCCTGTGAATCTGTGAAGATAAATCTATTAGCTGTCAGACACATGTAGGCAATTAGTTAAAATTAAGTAAAAATTAAAGCTTACTTCCTTACATTAGTTACATTTCAATGTTCAGTATTTGCATGTGGCTAGTACCTTATTGTATAGCACAGATATAGAACATTTCAATCAGCACAGGAAATTCTGGGCTTGCTGCTCTAGATGCTACAGTTTAAGAGTCTCAGTCCAGTGAAATCCAAGACTTACTATTTGATTTAATTTTTTATTTGTAAAGATGGAGAAATAATTTATGATGTTTTCTTTATTCTCATAGCAAACAGTAATGAAATATATTCAGTCCTTGATTTAGGATTCTCTCAGATAAGAGCAAAATCTTTATTAAATTCTGATAACTGCTTTAAATCTTCTCTCCAGAATCATTTACCCTATGAACTATCTGGTCAAGATGACTGGTCATTGAATATCTTATTAAATGTTTCACAACTGACTGGTTCCTGGCCAAATCTATTTGTCTTAGTTGAGGAATATGGGAAAGGATTCAGCTTTCAAACAGGAGCTATGGGCTGGGAAGGTGGCTCAGTGGTAGAGCTCTTGCCTTGCATGCATGAGGCCCTGGGTTCGATTCCTCAGCACCACATAAACAAAAAGAAAAAAGCCGGAAGTGGCGCTGTGGCTCAAGTGGTAGAGCGCTAGCCTTGAGCTGAAGAGCTGAGGGATAGCGCCCAGGCCCAGAGTTCAAGCCCCACGACCGGACCCAAAAAAAAAAAATAAAACAGGAGCTATAAAGTCAGTAGAATGTAAAGTCTTAGCATCATCTTTGGAGTGATTTAGATTTAATCATTCAGTGACTCATTTTTATTCCCAGCATCTAGTGCTTTTCGTATGGTCCAAAGGGGCCCTGTGCTGCTCCACTACAGAGGAAACTTCAAGAAATGCTGGTTTGCTACAGTGTTTTAGCTTGTGAGAGTCTCTGGGACCTTCCCTGCTCCATCATGGGGTCACCTCTAGGTGGGTATTAGGGGGAGATTACTAATTGGTTTAATTTTTAAAGAATTTGGTCCATTGAGATCTGCATTTAACAGCAGTCTATCCCTTAACATATTTTCCTGGCCCCAGCATAGTGTTATCTTAAATATTAATTCTCTAAAATGTGTTCTATAAACATTGAGAGACTAACATAACTTCAAGAGGCTAAAAGATTTGGTAAACTCCTCAATTTGTTCCTGTTTACTGTTATCAGAAACACTTCCCAGGTCCTTCTTTTCTCTAGATTATGAGATCTTTGTCATTTCATACCTCAGAGCAATGCTGTTATGACTGAAAGGGAAATGGTGTGGGAGTAGGTGAGAGAAAGCCAGTTTTAAGAGTAAGGGCTCAAGTATAATCTCACATCTGGCTTCCCCTCTCCTCAAATCCTCTCACTTCATGTCTCTAGATAGCTTTTCCTTCATTCATCTTAAGCTCAGCTAGTAGGAGCCAACTATACAGGATGTCAAAAGCTGTCATTTGACAGCAAGGAGTCTCTTCAGGAGTCAAGTTGTTCAAAAGGAATCTCCCTACTCACTTTCTGTTTCTTCTGTTTTCCATTAGCTTCCTGGTACTTTGAGATACTAGTATGCCTTACTCTGACATTTTGGATCATTTTAGGAACTAATATTAAGAATACTTTAGGTCATCTTGAGTATTTGATTTCAAAATATTATTCTAAAATATCCACTCAGGTCACCCAGATTCTCCTTCCTAATATAGCTTTTAGCCCAAATAGGAAAAAAATAGTTTTCTTATGCTCAAAACAGTTTGCAGATGGATTAGTGTTTAGTGTAGATTACCCAAAAGCATGTTTCTTTTTAAAGTTGACAGTGATAGAGATTTCTATTTTCTTTACAGGTCATTTTACCTGGGACAAATACCTAAAAGAAACATGTTCAGTCCCAGCACCTGTCCATTGCTTCAAGCAGGTAATTATTTTTCAACATCATTAGTGGGAAACAAAAAGGGTTTATTCTTGATTCTTAAAAAATCAAAAATATGATATGAGAGCCTTTTAGCTTCTCATTTGAGTGTCCTAGAATAAACACTATAGGAGGACTCAAGAAGTAAAATATGAGGGCTGGGAAGGTGGCTCAGTGGTAGAGCGCTTGCCTTGCATGCTCGAGGCCCTGGGTTCGATTCCTCAGCACCACATAAGCAAAAAGAAAAAAG